GAACATTAAAGCATGTCAACATATTCTGTTACACCAAATACACAAAATAATGATCTTTAAAAAAGCATCATATGACCCCTTTAATGCTTCATAAACCAAACTAACAACATTTAATGAGCATTTGTCATATATAATTATTTTTGTGTTTAATTTATGATATTTGACCGTTCTTAACATTTACTGCTTTCTTTTAAAACATTTTTAAATGGACTTTTCTCTTTATTATGTCAAATATTTTCTTTGAATTAATGGCATTTTACTTTGATTTTCTATAGAAAACTTTAAAAGTTGTCATCTAATTGATTCGTTTTTATCCATTTAATTATATAATACCTCAAGATGCTGTAACCCTTTGGAAAACGTGCTGTCTGACACGCTTGAAGAAAGAAAACTCACATAAACAACACATCCTTTGTGACATCATGTTCATTGGTTTCTTTCAGCATTTGACTCAAAGAAACATCCTATTCATTATATTTGAAAATGTTTTACTGAGACGATGGACTTGCAAAACGGGCCAGCATAAAGACGTCAAAGTCGGAGAAGAAGAGGGGGAAGGAAGAAAAAGAAAAGGGGGAGAAGAGAAAGGAGAAATGAAGAAAAGAAAGGGTGAAATTTGACGTTCAAATACAGTTCTTCCTTAGCATGCGCACAGTGATATACAGTAGATGTGGATCCAACCACGCCCCCTGGATCTTGTGTTCTGCAGTGAGGGGCTACTGGAAAATCGCGCAATTATATTACACTGTTTCCTATTGCAGGTGCTCACCAAGACCGGGGTTCGACTCCAGTTAAAGACAACTTTTTGTAATATTGTTAATTTCATTAAATAAATTAAGTTTCAAGGTTAATAAAATGTAGCTACATATGGACAAATCCAATGTACAAACGTCCTCGTGGCTTTGAACCCCACTCCTGGTAAAAACGAATCTTTAAAAAGCCCGAAAGAAACGAGCATGTGTGTTCGTATTACTTTAAATGCATAATGTGTCCTAAAGATGTAAAACAATGTTTCGGTGACGTCCTCAGACAATAGGCGTACCTATCGGTCGTTAAAGTCATTTATTTCCAAGCAATTTCTAATCAGATTTGTCACTGTCAGATAATAAAACTTGCAATGGCTAGTAAAACCCAACAACGGTTTTATATAGCCGGACGAAGTCTTCTAAAATAGAAGAAGAATAGAATATTTTCTGGTTATAGAAGTAGAAAATCAATTTCTATTTCCAAAGTACTTTATTAGCATTCATTCATAACAGCTAAAGAGAAGGCAGAAAATATCATGATAATAAAATAAAAAGGCCAGAATTGTAGTAGAACGTTTTTATTTGTAGTTCTTTTGCTTGATGTAATAGCTTTAATCTGAGCTCGTATTAATGTGCAGCTGTTAGTTCGGGCACGAGGACGGAATGTTTCGTTGCAACGTAACTGAATGTACCATCTCTGTTCTGGAGGGGGGGTGACATTCATAAAATCCTTGCACTTTGCTACATTTTACAAGTTTTTACATATTGTATAACATTAAAGCAATTATTCAGTAATATTTACGCATTTTATAATGCTAAAGTAGTATGGCCTGTGTAGAATAGTACCATATGAACAACAACATTTAAAGGAAAACCCCTCTGTCAGCTATAAGTGCGCGTTACCCGGTTTCCTCAGTCTCTTTCTGTAATAAGGAGTCCGGTGAAGAAGTTGAACTCGAACCGCTTGTCACTTATCAAACTCTTCGAAAGTAAGTAAAACTTTAGTTTTCACTAACACGGTTGTGGTAAACATAGTACTTTTATCGTGTTATTACTGAAGTGTTCCGCTGTGCGTGTCGCGCCACGTGGCTGCGCGTGAAACTCTGTTAAACCTCTGAATTTGTTCAGCTGCCTCCACATCACGCACTCATACATAATAAAAACCCATGTTTCACGAGTTTATACAACTTTCATGAAGCAGGTGGAGTTGACAGTGATAGCATACATGAAGTTTCAGTGCTGTAGTTTGTGTTTCACGTGTTCATAAACGGTGCGTCTTAAGAAGCATCTGTAACGGATCTGTATGTGTCATATAATCCTGACCTACAGGTCTCTGCTGGTTTAAATCTGGGTTAGGCGTGTTACTCGGGTTTATTTGCTCTTAAAGGGGTCATATGATGCTTTTTTTAAAGATCATTATTTTGTGTATTTGGTGTAACAGAATATGTTGACATGCTTTAATGTTCAAAAAACACATTATTTTTCAAATACTGTACATTATTGTAGGTCCTCTATGCCCCGCCTCTCTCAAACGCTTCGTTTTCTACAAAGTCCCTCCTTCCGACAAGCGCAGTCTGCTCTGATTGGCCAGCTGACCCAGTGCATTGTGATTGGCCGAACACCGCAAGCACTCGTCGGAAATGTAACGCCCCTTACCATAATCGCGAGCTTCATCTTTCAAAATAAATGTAAAGACAGTAAATAATGTCATTAGTTTTACCATCAGTTCAAGCCTGAAAGGGGAACAGACACAGTAATGATGCAGTACACAAGCCGCGGTTAAGACAGCTGACGTGCTATGATTTCTGACAGGCAGTTCACTCTCCTGTGATGTGACCCTGTTCCCCTCACACACACACACACGACGCGTTACTCTGCGCTGCGCAAAACTCCGCATTTGA